ATCCCCCCTCGGCTTTGCTGATTTATTTCCTCATTTTATCTACCAGGAAAGAGAACAAGCGATCCAGCTTGCCAGTGCGACAATGAATAGGCGATTTCTGTAGCTGTATTTTTAGAATGGGTCGAGAGAAGGCACTTATCAGAACCACGCTGCTTGCACAGAGAGAATGTAATCTTACGTCTGTTCCCCATGGGTATGATACGGTACAACAAACCAGTAGACAGACTTTGACCATTTTTTGGGTGAGGTTTATATTTGACTGACTTGACTGAAACAATGTCCACATTCTGCCATATGTCCAGCAGCTTCCTGAGACACTTTGTCAACACCAAGAATAAATGTCGTAATGCATCGGGAATATGAATGTTTCATATGAGTGGAACAACTGCACTCTGCTTGGGCCTGATCGCTAGTTTTAGTTGGAATAACTGAAGCTGTGCGTTGACTCTAGATCTATAACTCTAGATCTATAACTCTACATCTATAACTCTAGATCTATAACTCTACATCTTTCCTCTTCAGGTCCAAAGATCATAACTTCAGTTTTGTTTCTGCTCAGCTGGAGAACGTTTGGGCACATCCACACAGTGTCTGTTTTAAGCATTTATTCAGTGGGTTCAGAGTCGCCTGGTGAAACTGTGTCCTGCAGCGATGCATTCTGGGTACAGAATGAACGTCGTTTGCTGCACCGCATCACGGGTGGAGAACTTGAGGGGAGGAAATGGAACGTAAACAGTTTCCTCCCACTTCAAAACAGGAGCGCGAATGTGAGCGAAATACAAGTCGATGCCCAAAGCTTCGACACAGACGTCGAACTTTATTCAGAAAACAAGAATCGATCTGGAAAAATTCATTGGTGGGAAGCTAATTGTTTTCAAAGTTAGAAGAAGCGCTAAAGTGCTAAACAAAAAAAAAAAGTGCTTCGCTAATAGAGGATTGGCGGAAGTGTCCCAGTACTCTTTCCAGTTCGTTACCAGTGCAGCTGCTCTGTCCTGTGAGATGCCGGCATTTGAGGTTGTAATGAGAAAAAATGTGACTTTTTTTGTGTTGCCCTGCGACATCTTACCGCTGCTCCACAACAAGACAAAAGAGGCTTCTTTTTCATTTGGCTGTTTTCATCAGACACCCCCGTCCCCAAACATCTGTCTCAGTCCCACTTTGTTCTTGGCATCCTCTGCTGTGTCAAAGACCTTCTGCACAATCTTCCTGAATTTATCTTTCTGATCCTCCTCCTTTATTCCTCCCATGCAGCCCTGACATCCCCAGCAGAGTAGTTCCACTATCTGGCGTCTGCACATGTCCAGCCAGACATTTTGCACTTCGTCTCGGACTGTTAAACCAGAGCTGTCCCTCTAATTTACTCTTTTCTAATCCTGTCCATTTTGGTAACTTTCTGTGAAAATCTAACCATCCTTTTAGCTCCTCCGCCTCCAGGAAAGCGAAACTCTCTCCAAAGCAGATGACACCACTGTGTAGTTACCCTTTCCTTTTCACTGTCGCAGCCATCATTCTGTCATAAATCCTCCCTAACAAGCATCACTTCTGCTCTCTTCTCTCTTCTTCATCTCTCTCATTCTTTGGGAGCGCTCAACAAGTTCACGCACGTATTCTGACTTGCCTCTGGTGCCTTTTTTCACCTTTGACCTGGAGCATACCTCGGCATCTCCCGGCTCCCCTCCAACCTCTCACTAAAGAACACAATGTTGTCTGCAAACAGCCCGTGGGGAGTCCTGCCTGACCCGACCCGTTCGGTGAGCCGGTCCGTCACCACGGCAAACAAGACGAGGTCCACATTTGACCCCTCACCCCAAACCCGTAGAGTGTGCGAAAAGCCTTATAAAGTGTTTTGCTAAATTGTGGTAGAATAATGTTACAAAAGCAAAAAAATAAATAAATAAACATATTTCTTTAACTTATAGCTTGAGGTCATTACAATCAGTACTGAAAGCAAAATCATACTATATTTATATTGACTAAGGAAGAAATTGACCACAATTTAGATGAGCTTCATCATCTTCAAAAAAATAAAACAAAACGAAAACGAAAAGTATTTAATAAACTTCTGTCAAAGGTTTCAACACAGGAAAACCACAAAAACTCCTAAAGTTCAGAGGTTTGAAGATATATCAAGTATCAGTATCGGTATTGGCGATACAGGAAACCGATACCCTGCATTTTCAGCGTCTCGGTTCACTACCGAAACATGCAGCATCACACACCTCTAGTAGAAAGACGTAAATCCAGGAGCAGAGTGGATCAAGAGGAGCAAAGAAACTTTTGACGTTTTGACAAGCCAGTGGAGGCATGAGTCAGCTTCTTTACTTCTTCCCAAACCCAATCTCAGTCCAAATCTCAGCAGATGTATTGTCTGGATTTTATTAAACCAACAAACCTCGGAACGCCATTCATACTTTGGAAGATCTCCACTTGCGCAAACAGAGTGCGTGTTTTATTAGCTGCTAAAACTAAGCATGGTGTGAAATATATGAGGTGTTTTACAAGGAAAACCACGGTAAAGTCGAGGAGAGACACAAAGAGCAAGCAACAGTAAAAATACTTAAGCTGCTATTAAATGGATTATGTCTCTTTCTTATACTACACCACATGTTGGAGGAAAAGCAGACGACGAAAACGCGCCCGCTTACTGACCATTTTCCTACATGGTGATTGCTGATGATGCAACTTCATGTCCATCTCACAGGAACAGACAGTTCAGCGCTTTGTGTTTCCAAGAACAAGACGAGCTACTGAAATGTTCCGCAATTTGTTTCAAATAATCATCTAAGTCAAAGCCTGACTTGTTTAACTCTGTCTTGGTGGAACTGCACATCCACTGGGCTCATTATATGAACCACTTCTCAGTGAAATGCTAGTGAAAACGTTTAACACTTGATAGATGATGATGACCTAATGAAGGTGGAGTGTCAGAGCAGGAGCTTCTTAAAGGGGCAGTATTATGTGAAGTTGACTTTTTTTAATGTTATTTCTACATCAAAAACGTACATGGAGCGTTGCCTTGATTCTTTCATGCATCTTTGAGAAATCTCAGTCTCTTGTGGCAACTATTCAGCTGTGTAAAACGTCTGGGTGGACATAGCTCCGCCTTCGAGGACAAAGCTCCTCCTCAGAGCTGGAGTTTCTGAGCGTCTGCCTCGCAGAACAGCCCTCCCCCAGTCAGCTCCTTCAGACTAGCTCGCACCAATTAGCAAACACCTGGGGGACCTGTACATCAGATGAACTCATTGGAGGAGCTACTTCTCAGCGGCAGGTAAAAACGTTGCTATCGGGTTGATAGAGTAGCCATGTCGTGATGACTTTCTGAAGGCAGGAGTTTTTAAAGAGACAGAGGCCCAATTTCAAGGTGATGAATTACGAAGTCAAACGTTTTTAAGTCATGTTTGATATATTCAGCATTTTTTATAACAATTGAATGTAATAGTTACTTGATTATGACACAGGTACAGATTATGACACTCTGTACCTGTAAAATACATAACACTTCCCATCTCTGGAGTGAGTGCAGCCTTTCTGCGCCGTCCTCCATGATCTTGTGAGTTATGGTTGACGTGACTTATTGAATTCCTGAAGGTAAATAAAGCAGGCAGCATGGGCAGAAACTGCAGCAAACAAAGCTAACAAAGAAACACCATAAATCTGATAGCAAGCTTGAGATTCGTTCTTCTGTTTGCCTTCCTATATGACGAGAGAGCTGTAATATTCTATTTTATCCATTAGGACTTGGTTCTGATCAAAGCTCTGAGTTGATATTTCATCATCTATATAGCAAATATTACCTGTAACAGAATCAAATCAGACCCTGCGTTGAACTGCAGGTGCTTTTTTGTTGTTTTTTTTTCTGTTTGTCAGCTCAGCCTGTACAGACATTACTTTGTGTTCCCTCCAATTCCCATCAATCGGCTCTTCGTCGCCCTCCTTTCCCTGTAGGGAACCTTTGTGCCCTACATCTAAAGCCCTTTAATGCAAGCATGACTCATAACCGCCAGGCACATGAACAAATATAGAAAAGTGTTTTTCCCAACCCTGGAAGCGGGGCACCTAGAGTTAAAAGGAAGCTAAAATAATCCTTCATCTTTGGGAAAATGTAGTCCCAAAATGCCCCATTTTGGTGACTGTCTAGAATCTCACCAACACACTAACTTTGTGAAGACAGTAGCGTTAAAAAAAATGTCTTTTTCCTTTCAATGAGTTTTCATACAGTCATACATAGTATCATACCTGTATCTGCCAGCAGTCAAAGCAATACAGGTTTGGAAAAGTCAGGGCAAACTACAACAGGGGAGTTTAGCAACACAATCTCAAACTTTTACTAAGGAAATAATATGTTTGTTTTCACACTTGATCGGTTCTTCTCTCCATTTCTTTAACCAAATGACGTGAACATCGTTTACAGCAGAGCAGTTCAGGCACTGACGCTGTACACAGTCAAAAAATAAAAAAGTAAAAATAACTAAATAAATTGATCTTTGTGCCGATGGGTGTGCTGGACGTTTGCTGTGAAATTGATTTGAGTTCCTCGAACTGAAATACGCCTGAATATGTGTTCATTTACCCTGAACTGAAAATATTCATTTTCATTCACAACATCCAAATGACAGTGAAAGAATCTTGTCGATTACATCACAAAGACTGATGCCTCTGCAGATTTCCATGGACATTTTGCTTTTTTCCCCATATCTGCTACTGCTCTCCTGAGCTGTCTGTCAGGCGATGGATGCTTATCCAGCTACTTCTACATGGCAACTTGAATAATGCATGTCTAATTTTATTGGTGGAATGTTAAACAGTTTTATCAATACATTCTGGCACAACCGGCTCCGTCAAGAACATTCAGATTATTGGTCCAAAATGAAAATGAGTTTGACATCCCTAGACTAAAGCATCAGGATGCTGCCAACGTTTCAATGTTAAAAGATATTGACGTTGAAAGGGGAGATAGACACGCGTTGCACTAATTCAAGCCAGAAGAAGGCTGCTCCTACCGCACAGGCTGCTGTTGTGGGCGCGCTGGGAAGCCGTGTGTGTGAGCATGAAGCTCTCTGTGCACTGCTGACTGCTGGCGGACGGCGACCTGCGGGGCGACCTCTGGAAACGGTTCCGTCTGTTGAAGTAGCTGCCGGCCGACCACGACCTCTTGTGCTTCCTCAGGTACTCCTTGTAGTTCTTGGTGAGCAGCGTGTAGAGGAACGGGTTGATGCAGCTGTTGGAGTACGTCAGGCATGTGGTCAGGTAGTTGATGTTGCGTTTGACTTTGGAGGAGAGGGGCAAGGAGGGGCAGAACTGGGTGAGCAGCTGCCAGATCCAAAAGGGCAAGAAGCACGCCCAGAAGAGGAGCACGATGGTGAAGATCAGGTACAGCACCTAGAGGAACATGGGAAAATGAAGATTTCAGAAATCCGTTCAACCACAACCAGGGAGGGGATGGGCAATCCTGGGTATGTATCCTGGGTCCAACACACTTGAATCCAATAGCTGAATATTTCCTAAGTGCAGTCAAATTCACCAAAGTCCAGCTAATGACCTCATTATTTGACTGCAGGTACTGAAGTGGAGATACATCTAAAGGTTGCAGGATGCTGGCCCTCGAGGCCTGGAGTTATCCACCCTTGTGTAATATAGTGGTGAGAGATAAAATCTTTATAATTATTAATTATGGCCCCATTTACCCAGTGCTGGTGGTGGGAGATAGAAGGATTCTGATCAGAAATGGCCTGGGGCTACAAAACTGCTCTGATCATATATTTGCCCAATTTGAGATTTTGCAAGTACATGTCCTTCATGGAAGCATGACAATTCTGTAACAAAACCACTGTTATTGTAACAGGGTCTGAACGTTACGGGGTTGAAGATTTTCACTAAACGTTGCCATAAATCCACATCAGCTGGGAACGGAGCAACATATGAGATAATAAAAACAAGAAATTAATATATTTCTCAAAGACAATCCTTGACTTTTCCCCAAACAACAATAAATACAATTTACGTGCTGTGTTGAAAGGTTGAGCTTGATGATGACGGCCTATGGATAAAAATAATTGAAGGGTTAGGGTTAGGGCTCTGTGTGAGCGGGAAAAGACTTAAGTGATGTCACTTCCAGGGTGCTGAAGGAAATTGGACCGAACCATCATTTCTAAAATGGATGTATTGGTATGCTCTTACGGGGTTGAAGAAAACTGGAGGGACGCGATTAAAAAGTGTGATTTTATTAATAATTCACGTATTTTTCTCATATTTCTTTTATATAGGTTAAAGTACACCCAAAAAGTGTTTATAATGGTACAAATAACTTGCAGTTACTGGCTATTTTTATTTGTTTTATATTCAGTGAAAAATGTATTTAAAAAGATGTAATTACATATTAATTACTCAAAGAGAAGCATTTATAAATGACTGTGACTTTAGACAACAAAATAAGTAAATAATAATAATAATAACTTCGTAATCACCATGTCAATCTTCTTACCCGCTACTGTAGTAGAAAATTTCATTTGATCGATTTCATTTTAATTTGATCTAAATTAAGGACTGGTAGCTTTTTTGCGCATATGAATGTTTTTCTTCGCTTTTCGTCACTGTGTATGTGTGAGAAAACCTGCAACTGTGAGTTGCTGATAAGGACAACTAGAAGTTCCTGTTGAAATCCTTGGCTGCCATCATTTTCAGCCATACATGGAGGGTGAGTTGCATGTAAGTTCAGTGTGCCTTTTTTTCTTTACAGGTAGATTTATATTTCTTTACCGTTTCTTCTTTTTACTTGATTTCTGTGTAATGTAGTGTGAGAGACACTGAATTTATTAGTGTATTTATTTATTTTACTGTTCACGTGTATCATAGTTCACAGGTACCCCACCCAATTTGTTTTGTTTATAATAAGTTAATTTATTGTTCATTGTAGCTTCTTAATTCCTTCTGAACTTGGTTAGGTTTTGTGTCAGTGAATGCATCGGTGTGGTGTGTGCCGTTTGCTGGGCAGTATGCTGTTTTTCCCCCGTTATGCTGGGGAACATGAGGCACTGAATGTCGACAGGCTGACTTTTTGTATAAAGGTAAATAAAACCCTTTTTGTAATTTGCAAAGACAACTCCGGATGTCATCTGTGCTTGACCCCAACAACAGTAGCTTTTCCATCATCAAGTTTCTCTAACTGGTGAAAGTTTGGTACAGTTTTAACTGACTTCCGGGCATTTTCATTACATACTGTAATCTGTCCGTATTTGGACGCAACGTGAGCGGGCTGTGAGAGTTGCAGCAGTCTCTCTCAGACTCTCTGCACTTTAAACTTGTTTACTTCATTTAGGTAAAGAGAACTGTTATTATGTCACTTTCACTTTCACTGCTGCAGGGGGTGTGGTTGAAATGCAGTAGTGACGTAAATCATGTGCCGCTCAACAGACACGATCTGTTGTCAATCAAATTGCAACACACCACATGAAATCCAGAGTTTTTACAGCTGTCACTTTGTTTTCTGTTTGCAGTTTAGTCATCCACGGTGGCTACCCAACACACTCTAGTTTTTTCATTGATATAAATAAGAGCAAAATAAATGATTGACTGGTTTTAACCCATTTTCTGGGTGTTTATGGACCTCAGACTATGTCCATCTGTTAAATCAGTTAAGTCAATTATCATCTGTTTCTGTCTGTATCTACAGGTTAAAGTGACCGCCAGACTGCCAAATTCTCAACACCCTCAAAGAAAACAGAACAGCAAATGGCCGCCAATCCACAAAGAAGATGGAGCAGAGAGATACCACCTGATCTGTCTGAGTTAATGAATGAACTGGTTGCAGCTGCAAATTCATTCATCCACACGTTTGACCAACTTTAACCCGAAATGAGAGAAATTGTGGAGAGGTTACATGTGATTTCTGTAGAAGTGGAAGAAATACAGAAGATGGTCAACAGAAATAGACCAAATAGACCAGTTCAAAACAGAACTGGAATAGGTTATTATTTATTAGAATTTCTATCAAGACTTTCTGGTGCTTCATCGATTCATAAAATAACAACAGAGAGAGAAATGACTGATGAAGGAAAACAATGTATGACACAATTCAAAGAGATAATCAGACCTCTGGAAAAGAACCTGGAAATAATAATGGTCTAATGACCATTATTATTTCCAGGTTCTTTTCCAGAGGTCTGAAAAACGGTTGGAAGAAGAATCATGCCAAGTTATTGCAAACCGCATTCAGGGAGACCTTGAAGGGTTTCAGGATGTACTTGAAGAGGTGCAAAGCCTAAACAAGAACATGACTGAGTCGTTTTTTACACGGTTTTCTGCAACTTTAGCCCACAATCCTCTGGACACTCCTGAAGAAGATATGAAGCTCAGAGAATCCATCAGAGCTGCAGCTAACCAGACTGAAAAGCTCACTGAACACTTTCTAGTGATGAAGAGGAGACTTGAAGAGTTTACGGATTCTGAGGTTCAGACAAACTGATCAGATTCCTAAGTGTTCATTGTGATGGAGACATCACTGCGACAACCTTCCAAGTTGAACTTGGAGAATTTCGTCAATTGCCAATTGACGAACTCAAGAGTTCGTCAATTGGCAGAAGCTGAGACGTGGGAGGTCAACACGGTGTCCAACACAACGTAGACGTCTCTTCCAAAAGTTGAGCCAGTTTTTGAATCTTCTCTTGAAGCAATTCTCGGACATCGTTTTTAGAAACCCAGGGGCCCATCAGATACAACCAATCAGAGGCAGGTCTCAGTGCTGTCAGTCACTCTTATATGTGCAAAACTCAGACCCTCCCCTTTTCTCTCTACTACCCTACAACTGGTTCACCACAAGAGAATCTGCCGTGAAAGCTCAGTGATGACGGTGATGTGGGAACTTAAATATAAAATGGTTAAACTGCTTTGAATAATTAATTAAACATCCTGGAAAGTTTGATGACTACGATCAACTGGGATGAGATGTACTGTTTGATTCAGATGGCTCTCCAAATGCTACTTATATATGATATTGTGATTCAATCGGATCAAAATATCACAATACTCAGATGGATAGTCTGAACTGACTGAACTAACATCACAAACACATACAAAACTGGAACCTTATTCCAGTTTTGTAAGGTTCCAGATTGAGTGATGAGTGCCAAGTCATCACTCAATCCAGTGACTGGGAGAATGTAAGCTCATATATCACATGTTTATTCCACTTATGTATATGACATCAACGTCCCGCAGCATATATGGTATTTCATTTTCAGTTTTTGTTGTTTTGTTTGTTTTTCTCCTGTCTAGCAGTGGTGATATTGTTTTGTAATTTTGAATTAAAAGCATATATAGACGTCTATATACATTATATATATATAGTATATATATATATATATATATAGTATATATATACTATATATATATATCTATATATCTACATATATATATATATATATATATATATATATATATATATATATATATCTACATATATATATATATATATATATATATATATATATATATATATATATATATATATATATATATATATATATATATATATAATCAAAAGGATTTTTTGTAAAGTGCCTTGGGATGACATTCCTTGGGAATTGGCCTTATATGCTGTAAATAAACTAAATTGAATTGTGAACTAAAAAGTACAGCTCCTTCCTTTAGTCTGCACATTCATTTTAATCTCAGCATGTTGTTATTATTATTATTATTTTTAAAGAACTGGCTCTTAGCTGCTTCCCTTGTTGCTCTCTTTGCCTGACCTGCCCATTTGGGTGGATGAACATGCCTTGGTAGCTTTGCAGCTGCTCCTGTCGTTTTATGGTTTTGTTTCATAACCAGAGCTTGCCTTAAAGCGTCACAACCGTCCGCCGTGTGGTTGTTCAAGTGGTTGTTCACTAATGTCCTCTAACCTACAACGGAGGTATTAGAGGAACTTGATGGGAAAGAAAATTACTAGAATAAAGTTTTATTGAAGCCAAAGGAAAATTAAATGTTGTAACTTATATCAATTCAAATTCTTCAAAGATTTTTTTTGTAGGTAATGATGGCTGTTGGCAGGAAAGACCTCAGGTAGGGCAAATAGAAATAAAATAAAGTCATAGGAGAATAAAGTTGAAATAATTTGTGAATAAACTCAGTATTACGAGAATACAGTTATGACTTAATTCACATAATGCCATAACTTTATTCTCAAAATAAAGTCAAAATAAGGACTGTATTCTCATACGAGTCTATTCTCACAATATTACACCTTTATAGTAATTGTATGATTTTATTCTCGGAATATTATTTTTGTACTTTTCATTTGTTCTTAGTATGGCCTTAACACTCAAAATTATGGTGCTCTGAAACCCTAAATCACAATAATTGTTTGGTATAAGTTGTAGTTAGGAATGATGTGAGAAAGTTAACTCTTTGCAAGATCATTTGCCAAGTACTGACCTTTTGATTAGGTAGTTTCTTGGTCTGCTTGAAGCTTTTCGTTTGCGATATCCAGTAAGTCCGTGCTAGCTGAATGTAGAGATACCCAATGATCAGTCCTGGAGCAACGATACTTGTGCAAAACAGGAAAGAGATGTAAATCTTGTAAGACTGCTGGGATAGAGTGGGCAGGCACATTGCCTTCTTCCCAACTGTCGTAAGCTGAATGGTCACAATCATGGGCAAGGTGAGGATTAGAGAGGCTACCCAGACCAGCACCGCAATAGCCTTCCGGTAACTTTTAGACCGCTTGACCGTGTCCAGGGGCTTGAGCACCGCAAGGTATCGCTCCGTGCTCATGATGGTCAGCGTGAAAATGCTGGCGTGCATGGTCAGGAAATCCATGCTGATCAGAATCCGACATCCCGCGTCCCCAAAGTACCAGCCCTTCAGGAAGTGTGTGCACACCACAAAGGGGATGGTGAGAAGGTACAGCAGATCTGCCAGAGCCAGATTTATGATGTAGATGTACATGGACGCCGCGGTCCTCATGGAGTGGTACATGACCACCAGGGTGTAAATGTTCCCCGAGACGCCGACGAAGCACATGACGGAGAGGATGGTGCCGATGGTGACGGTAGCGGCAGCGTCCTGGTGAGAGCTCACGGGCGGGACGGTGGCATTGGCGCCCCTTTCCACCAGGATTCCTACGGGCTCCATGGACGCTGTCGTCATTCCTGGATGTGGGGAGAACGGTGAAGAATCACATTTAAGCTGGATTGTATGAGAAAGTCAAGGCAACCTGTTTTTCTTCACTGTCTGACATTAAATCAGACTCAGCAGTTCTTGTTATAGATCAGCGAGCATCGGTAAAATAATTTCTTTTTTCAAACGACTGGATAATTCAGTCAATCTCATTACGCCTGATAATTGTTTTCTGAGATTTTGGCCAATTCTTCCTGACAGAGCTGCTTTAACGAAGGTTAGGTTTGTTTTATGTGGGAAAGACCCAATGGCACATGAGCTATCACAAGCTGCATTTCTGTTACAAAAGGGCGCAAATCTTTGCCTATATTCTGTTAGAGTCCAAAAAAACAAGATTTCACAATTTCAGTGTTTTTATTAAATAGGAAATACTTATTTCCTCAGAGCTTCTTTTGGCTCTGAGTTCAGAGAACTCAGAGCCAAAAGAAGACATTAAAAAAATCATGGCAGCGACATGAGATATATTCATGGTGCTAGACAGAGGAGATATTGGCGTCTAATTCAGGCGTTGGAGTGACAAGCCCCTTAAACTGAGGACTGACTTTGGTGTTTTGGGGAAATTGTAGACGACAGTTTTACAGAAGCGTTATGGAGTCAACACGTCAACACAGCTTTTTATGAACAGTGTGATACTGTAAGAGCTTTGGTGGAGCCAGCTTGTTATTGAGTTTTAAAAAGAACAATAACAAACTCTCATCCTCCTCCTACTTCTGGTCTTAATTGACGTTTCTGCCAGTAGTAAATCTTGTTGATCATGTGACTTGTATGATGCAAAAAAATATTTTTAAAAAACAGTATTTTGATAAGGCTGAAAAATCACCTCATCCTAGCGCAAAAACTTCCTGCCAAAAAAACTTTTTTTTTTTTTTAAACTGACATGTTTCCATTAAGCAAATTTGTTCACATAATTTTTATTTGCACAATTCTATGGCTAATGGAAACATTTTCTTGCTGCTATCTTTACATGCAGCATCAAAACGTCCACATAATGTTCTTTCCTTTTAATGGGATCTACATTATGAAGTGCACCAGTCCCTCCTGCAGCAACCCCTCCATCCCACACACACGCACACACCCACACACACACACATTACTATCACTGCTGAACTTGAAAGTTGGGATGGTGTTCTTGGTATTGGAAGCTTGCCCCTTTTTGTCCCCTTCAGATGCGACGATGTTCATTACGACCAACCGCTTCAATGTAAAGTCCCAACAGACAACATTACATGTATGTTTTGCTTTTGTTATGTTTTTGGTGTAAAATGTTTGTTTATGGACCAGTTTTGTCTCTGGACTGAGGAACTTTTTTTTTTCTTTTTCCATATTTGAAGAGATGGAATTTGTTCCAAAAGATGAGCCAGACTTGTGTGTGTCTGCAATTGTCTTCCAGCAGTTTTGGTTCAGGTTGCCATGGTGTGACACGAGGATGTGAAGTCTTTGACTTGTTGCCTTCAAGTATTCACACGTGTGCCTCCAATAAAGACAAATATTGAAGAGGAACCAGATCACAAGTGTAGGTTCTCAAACTATATCAGTCGATATGCTCAGTCAATTCTGCCCCTGATGGCATTTAGTAAATACAGCAAATTTCGGTCCTCTTAGCGTTCCGTACAACAGGAACAGTTGAGTCTGATTTACCGATAGACAGTGACAGTGTGCGTCTGCATCTGGTTTCAATACTCAGTGCCTCTTAGTTATCTTGCATAAATAGTGGAAAACATTATTGGCAAATGTTCTGACAGTCCCGTTCTCTATTTTGGGACAGAAAATGCCATTAGGCACAGAATAGATAAGCTTGCTTTATATGCACAACATCTTGTCTGCACTCCGTTTTCACTTCTCACATTCTTCGTCTTTATCTTTCATTTCAGAGAACTCAGAGCCAAAAGAACCCTGGTCTCGTCCGCTTGTATTTCCGTTTAATTAAGCAGTGAAAACAGCACACAATCATTTATCTAGCAGCTGTATTCATGGCCGTGTTTTATCAAACCAGTGTTCAGAAGAAGTTTGCACAACTGCGCTGAACTCCAAGAATTTAATGATGAGGGGAAAAAAACAGACTTCTCAGAACCTGCTATATGTGGCAACAATGACCTGTTGTCTCTGAAATTCTCGACCGAGTTTAACGACAGAATTCTGCCATGTTTAGCTAAATTTTGGCCACAATTCCAAAAGTTTGGTCAGCAGAAAAACAACCCGGCACACGAAGGGAACCAGAGCTGTGGGAACGTCGTGGTTTAGGGTGACTTGACCTTCAGACAAACCAGACTTTTCGACGAGGTAGGCCAAGTTTCCGTTCCTGTCAGTTCAGGCCCAACAGAGATTTTGGGCCAAAGTCCAAACCTTCATCTAAACCAACAGAGGAATGATTTCACTAGACCAGTTTCATTAAAACTAATTTCTGAGGGGTTTTATTTTTGTCTGTTTTTTGTTTTACATATATTTCTACAAATGTCAACATCCCACAGAAGAAAATATATCTATTCTTTCTCTACCCTTTTTTTTAAAAACCAAAACAAAAATGGTTTCTTTAAAAATAACAACAAAATTCCTTCCAATTGATCTTTTATCCAAAAGGTGAAAGGTCCATTTGTGGCTCTCAACAGGTTTTCTCTCACTGGACTGGGAGCAAAAGTGGATCGTAAAAATTGAAATCGTGTTCTGGTGTCCAGAGTGGCCACATTAAAGCTTATGGCGGGCTGGATTTGGCCCCCGAGCCTTGAGTTTGAAACACGTGATGAAGTGGTTCTGTAATCTCTTGACTCTTTATATATCTTTCCAGAAATACCATTGAATTTTCTCCACTTGCTGCAGCGTTTACGCCCTCCTAACAGCAGCACCACACTACAGCTAACAGGCTGATAAACCAACGCCCCATTTCACAGGCCAGCTGCGGCGCTTTGCTGTTTACCAGCTTCACTTCTCAACTTGAGTTAAACATTTTTTAATGAGGCTTAAGTCTGATTTTGAGCGTCCAGCCTTTGGCAACGGACCTGCCACTCCAGAGCCTCCATGTTTCCGGATGACTGGCTCTAACCTTAAAGACTGAGTCTTTTTTTTTTTTTACTTACTTTAAATCTGTGCTGCTTCTTGAGATCCTTTCGCCTACTTCGTGTTGTCAGACAGGTCCTACGTAAGACATTTGAATCGGCAGGTCTAGTTGTGGCTGAAGACGCTGGACTGTGGTGAACTTCTCTTCATTCGAGGCTCTGCTTTTTCACACAAGTTGTTCTCAGATAGAAGATTTGTTCTTTTGACAACTGGTCATTCTATTGATCTGATCTCATACCAACCCTCACATTTTAACATTTAAATGCGACAAAAGCATTAAAAAACAACAAACAAATAGAAGAACTCTGAAGAGGAACAAACGCATCCAGTTCTGTTTCGTGACTGAAGCAGTCAGTATGGCAGTATTGGACAGAGGACTCATCATGCTGCTTCCTGCGCATCCAGATGTTGAACAGGGCAACAGTCTCGTTACCTGGGACTGAACTGGAGGAAGAGCTTCAGAGGGCGGCTGCAGCTCCATCGGCCACGGCGGGTCCCGAACTTTCCACTTGCTGGCTAAAAAAAAAAAAAAAATCTCCCGCCGTGAAGAAATGTCCGCGCGTCCCCGTCAGGAATGACTGGAAGAATTCAACACGGAGGTGAATCTCTCTCAGAGAAAGCTCTCCTCCTCTGGTGACAGAAGCGTGACGCTGATTACAGAGGAGGGGAAGGAAAGTTGTCTCCCGATCGCTCTGTCCTTCGCGTCTCCGTTGCGTCCAAGACGCCTAATGTCACCTGAGCAGCTGTGAAACCCAGCAGAGCAAAAAAAATATATGTATATATATAAGAAAAAAGTATATATTGCTGGAAGACACAGATGTGGGAAGAGGGGAAAAACGTCAGCTGTTTCGGAGACTCCTGTCTTTGAGTGAGGAAGAGTAACGGGAGAGAAGAGAGAGAGAGAGAAACAGTGTGTGTGTGTGTGTGTGTGCGTGCGTCAGAGGTGGAGAGGACAGCACGCTTTTAGCGCGGCGCTCTCACTCACAAGCCCCAAGTGGGGGAGAAGGAAGGAGGGGAGGAATGCAGGAAACGCGCTCTGCTCCCCGCTGCGGCCCCTGTGCCATCCATGTCCACCAGGCGCGGAGCGCGGAGGGACTCGCCGGGATTTTGGACAGAGCAGCACCGGGGACACCTGCGGGGGATTGAGGCAAAGACTTTTAACTGCGGGCTCGCAAATCAAAACTGTACCGACGATTTGTTCAATCAAAGGGTTTCGAGAAGCAAAACCGTCCTGAGAAAACCGGGCGCGCACTGGACCCGATTGAACACGCATCCATTCATCCAGTCCGCAGCCATCCGTGAGGTTACTCCACAGCTTTACCTGTGGAGTAAAGCTGTGGAGCTTTACATTTTTTACATTTTCTATTTTTTTTTCTCTTTTTTCCCTTCCAACATGTATTTACGCTTTAACACACAAACATAATTAGGCTGGAACACACCCAATTGTACACGCCTATGGAATCCATGACATGGATCAAGTCAGAATAAACGGCGCTGCATCAGCGGACAGAAACATCAATCAATAAACCAAATAAATCCCATGTCCATCTCCATGACAACGCCATTCAGTTGGAGCGACATCTTCATACATGGACTGTTGGTTACGTCACTGCCCTGTTTTGGGAGTGTTTAGTGGAGTTGGACACGCAGCGCCCTTTTTCCTGGATGGTCTAATTGCAGATATGTTTATGGGAGTTTCCGTCACAGTTGCGTGGTAATGTACTTTCCAGTCAACAGATATTTTAATGGTTTTTGCCAACGTGCTCCGAGACAGGGAGTTCTGCTGTTTCTCATATCAGGGCATATTATTACAACATGTTTTGGTATTTACTAGGTTTTAATATATATATATATATATATATATAGAGAGAGAGAGAGTAACGGGTCATTAATGTTTTTTTGAGGCTCATTAATGTTTTCATTGATTAAAAAGGAGGAAAAAGGAAACCAAAAATCCAAAGGATGGGAAAAACTATAAAATAAAACAAGGAAATTTCAAGAGTTTGAAAACTCAAAAAATTGTTCGAAAGTTTATTTTTTGAATTTTCTTAAAACAAAAGTGGAAATTTTTGCAATTCAAAAGCCGAAAATCTAAGAAACACATTTAAATGATTTCAGAAGCTTTTACTGTGAAAAACACTAAAGTTAAACTGGGATCAACTTTCGACTCCGGGTCAAATTGTTGATTGTTTAAATGCAACAGCTAGACAGAGAAAATGAAGAGCAAAAAATCATCACTGGTCCTCTGAACACTTCCAACACTTCAAGACAGACACGCTTTTTAGTTGACCATTTCAGTAGAGACCATTTAACAGCAAGACAGAGCCGGTAAAAATCACCTTTTAAAGGAGAGGGGAGGGGGCAGCATATTTCGAACTGAGTTCTTGTGCTAAAGTCAGAACAAAGTGCAATAAAACAAATTGCGAGGCGACGACTCAGACAGCAGGAATGGAGGTTCTTCAGACTGGGAGCCCAGTCTCCCACCGCCAAAGACAAAACCCTGGAATTTCACAGAGCAAACATTTGAGTGAGATCGTAGCAGTTTTTATGAACAGTGAGAACAGATGGCAGCATGAATTTGTTATTCATTCAACAACAACACAAAACAAAACCATGCGATGTTGCCATCGTCTTCATATCATTGCCACATTTCTATGGCAACAGATGAAACTGAAGCGTTCACTGCCCACATTTTCTCACGTTGCAACATCTTCTAGTGTGATAAATTCAGGTTTAATGCGATCGACCAACAAAAAGCAGAGCAGAATCGTGAAGTTTAAGTAAAATGATGCATGTTTTATGTGCATTGGTTGATAAAACATACAGAATTCCAGTCAAATTGGATTTCTGGTCACCTGATATCCCAGACAACTCCAGTAAATGTTTGGGTGGAAAGGAGCAACCGCATCACTACCGCCAGCTTGTTTTATAATATAAGAAAAATTAAAAGAATATAATGTATACATGTAAAAAAAAAAATAAATAAAATAAAGTCACATTTACTCTGATACTTCTAATTCTCCAGATCAACCCAGATGTCACCGACTTTGGTAACCTTTGCCGCCCGTTGTGTCCATTTCCAGGCGTCAGAACATAATCGGACTGATTGGCCAGTCCCTGCTGAACCACTTGTAATCAAATCTATCCACTTGCATGATTGACATGTTGAGGGGCTCTTTGGGTCAGAAAGATGATTCGTATTCAATGTGCCGGCTCTGAGGCATTGACTGACCCCATTTCCCTTAGTAAGTGAAGAATAAACAGTTCTGACTTTTTTGCCATTTTTGTGGAAATCATACATTTTTATGCAAAGAGACGTTTAATTGTTTCTTGCTATGTATCCTTTGCCTCAAAATGGCTTTCAGATTTCTGAGGTTTTTGACGTGACAAACTATGAAAATGTCACACTTCTCTGGGGGAAATGACTTTTTTTTAAATTTGCGACACAGAAACTGGTCTGCTTATTGGCAAATATGAAGTATTGCGATGCGAGTGAGGAAAGGGAGGAAACCCTAATATGAACCTTGAGCGCAAGACATTTCTAAGTTTCTAGTAGGAAACTTAGAAAGGAGGCTTTTTATTGTTATTGCACTTTTACCATTTTTATTTGTAATAAATTCTGTAAAAAAATAAAAACAAGTAATTATTTCTCACTTTGTGACCTGAGTGAAGTTGTCTGCCTAAAACTGGTGTCAAACGTTTGTGCAGCAAAGATTTCCGTTTGTGTCGCCATCATTTTAAAGTCATTGATAAATGTTCCAGAGGTCATGAGAGGTCAACCATCCTCCAGCCTTCTTGCTGCATGTTGGTGCAGCAAAAAAAATCATTTTGAGCCGCTTTTGTTTTGAAGATATTCAAGCACTTTAAAGCACTTTGAAATGCCTTGCTGCTGAAATGTGCTATACAAATAAAATTTGATTTGAGTCACAAAAGCTTAAAGGTCAACAGGTCAACCGGCCACCCCACAATACGCAGATCAAACAAAATCGATACCAAATGTTGGTGCGACACTTGTGCAGCAAAAATGTTCATTTGTGCTGCTGTCATGTTAAAGATGCAGATAAAAAGTTTTCCTAGGTCGTCGGAGGTCAACCAGCGCCCCCTCCCGCTCACATTTACAAAATCTAACACATTTGATGCCAGTCAGCTCTGCTACGTTTGTGCTGCTTTTGGTTTTAAGATATTGATGACAACCTCTGGAAACGTCTTCAGTAATCTTTAAAATGATAACGTGGCTCAAACAAAACGTTTTCCTGAACAAATCAGCACAAATGTTTGACACCAATTTTGTTAGATTCAAAGAAGGCAGAGGAGCCAACATCACTTAGAGTGATGTGCAGGTCATTGTGCTCGGGAACTTCAAACTGCAAAATAACCAGCTTTATTGCTGGCCATCAAAAGAAAGGCTTGAGTTGCTGAAATGACTAAATGAAATTATTATAGAACTTGCAAAGTTTAAAAGTCACAAAGGACAAGATCGTCAACAGTGGTGTCTTAAACACGTTAGTTTCACAATCCTTGTAAGCAACCTGACAAATTGGTTTTCATAAACCAGACATAACGCACACACCCAGCGCAGACGGTGAATCCCAAATGTAAACGAAGCCGACGCAAAACGATGATTACCTGTAGAAAAATGACGTCTTTGGACTCTAATCATACTGACAGATTATGCCGGAAATAAACACCAAAGAACTCTTGTGTCGGGCAGGTGCAGGTGGGTGGAAACGTTCGCTGCCTCTCCCTGAAAGGAGGGAGTGTCAGAGAAAGTCATGCGGCACGCAGCTGATGGATCTTACCACAGCGTGGGGTTACATACTGTCTGTGTGTGTGTGTGCGTGTGTGTGTGTGTGTGTGTGTGTGCGTGTGTGTGTGTGTGTGTGTGTGTGTGTGTGTGTGTGTGTGTGTGTGTGTGTGTGTGTGTGTGTGTGTGTGTGTGTGGGAGGTTAAGAGAGCTCCCATGAGTGGCTATTAAAGGACTATCAGGGCAGCAGATCAGGACTGATGACACAGCAAATGATGAGGTGCCACGCCCGGTCACACATTTCTACTGTCAGAATAAATATTCTAACTTCTGATATTGCAGCAAACTACACATTACCTCAAAGACTAGGACAAAAGGAAGAAAATTGAACTTTTTTTTTTCTTAAATTTTTTAAAATCTCAAGTAAAACCTTAAAAGTGTGATGAACCTGCTTATGGAGCACCTGTGCTCTGGTACTCCAAAACTAAAATCTAATCCATTTCAATTAAAAGTATATATACACAGATATCATGTCGTGACTGTGTTGTAACACAGTTGGATCTGTAGGTCATTCTATTGGCTGAGAGGTTGCCAGGCGATGGTGAATTTTGTTCCAAGCACAAACAGAAACTGTTTCGTAAGAAAGCAGAGAGTTTTGCAAGCGGAGATTTGCTCCGAGCAGAGGCAACAAGTTCTGAGCGCGAGAAGTTTTGACTTCTCGTTTCGAGAAGAACGACGCAAAGTCCTGCTTTCAGACCGAAAACGTGTTCTCGCAAATTATGGCAGAAAATAAGCAACTGTCCTCAACTCCGAAGAGAGAAGATTATTGTTCGACATTAGCGGAATATTGACAAAGTTTTGCGCACATTCGTAATGGAAACGTAGCGAATGTTTGCCCTCCAGGTTATGAATACCTCAGGCGAGTCTTAAATTGAATTAAGTATTTTTTATGGATATCAGTGTTAATTAGCGAGAAAGAATGTTG